GGCGCCATTCGGGAGATTTTTCTCCTGTTGTTAATGAGTCATCTCACCCCGTGCCCAGCTCCGTAGGTGTAAATACATGGGGTTGCCCGCTGGGTAACCGCGTACGATGACGTCTGGGAGACGATGAGCAAAACCCAATGCAGTGAAATGTCAGCGGGGCGTTGTGGTGCCTTGGCACAGAGGCGCAGAGGACAGGCGTGGTACTGCTCGGCGATGGACGGCGTGCATGCCCAGGCGTGCTGGCAGCAGATATCACTGTGCAGGAACTTGTGGAGATCTGCCTGGTCACATCAACAGGAATTCTCTCCAGGCTTTCATTCAGCAGCCCTTTTCTCTTCACTTTGTTACGGCTTCTGCAATCCCAGAACATCTGAGTTTTGAAATCCAGATGGAATCCTAAAACATCTCACTTCAAGGTATCTGGCACCATCGGCTGACCCGTGACCACTCCTCTCCTGACTCTCTCCACCTCCTGTCCCTTCAAGTCCACATTTCCACCTGCTGCAGCACCAAAGCCGTTCATGATGGATGCGCTGGGAAATGCTAACTCCCAAACTGACCACATTTGCCATCTGGTTTTTGGAAACAGTCTTGGTGCTGGTTCCTGAATCCCTCTGTCACATTCTCATCCCCGGTGCAGGACCCACTGTGCCCCAGTGAGCTGAAGAGAACCTTGAACCTCTCTTTGCCACGCTTTGCACGTAGTTTTCCATCAAAACCATTTAAGACCCACACCTAGTGCCTAACCCTGCCCGAGCCTGTGAAATCAGGGCACTGCAGCTTATCCAGCTCTCCAGGACGGCATCCTTGGGGATTCCCAAATCCACAGGGTGCTGTCATGGTCCTGGGCTGTTACAAGTGAAAGCGTCCCATGCGCTTAATCTCTTGTAGGGATTTATTTGGGGAAATTATTTCTCTCCAAGAGCAGAGACTTTCCCTGTGCACAGGCTTCGCTTCCCCATGTCCTTTGGGCTATCGGACAGGTGCCTGCCAGCAGCATCCCAGATGAAAACACAGTTAGACCACGACAAAAGATTTAATCTCCTCTCACCCTTTGGTGGAGAACGATTACCAGCCCTCACCTAGCTGCTTTCACAGTTCTTGACTCTCCAGGCAGGACGACTTGCTCTCAGCAAACCCAACAACCAGCAAGTCATTCACTGCGCCTGAATCCTATCCTTAACAGGGATTTCCAGAGCTGATTTCTAAAACATCATTCCTGGTGTTTATGAGGTATTTATTAGCCACAATGAAATGCTAACTAGTAATTAGTAGCTTGGTGGCTGTCTCAGCTAGCCACGTTCGCTCCAGGGCAGCTAGCCCATTTTCAGATGTTTTCCAAGGTTTGGGAAGGATTCCCGTGCCTCCGCTGCTAAAACCTAATGGGTCAGCCGGGGATCTCGCCCCTTTGGGCAGGTCTGGATCAGCTGGGTTTTGCCCACGTTAGGCAGCTGAGCAGGGCACAGCTACATCCTGCCGAGCTGGGCGCAGAACCAAGGCAGGCAGCTCTTTCCAAGAGATTTTCGTTTGATAAGCCAGGTGATACAAAAAGCCACCAGGCTCCTGTGTTTGGGGAAGGATTGCTGACTCTTCCCCTGCGAGTACAGCAGGAAAGAAGCTGTGAGTCAACTTTGAGGATGGAAAAGAGTGGGAAAGCCTCCAGCGTCCTTGGGGAAAGGATGGAAAGGAGACAGACATGTCCTGTGCAGCAATGCCGATGCTTGGGAGTACAGTCCAGCCTATCAAACATTTATTAGAAAATGTTCCAGAGTGGCTTAGCTATTTTTTGAGACATAACACCTATCTGGAGGGCTTTAAACACAACGAAACAAGGCTGGAAAAAAAAAATTAGAATAAAACACTAATGCTTGCTATTGTAGTGGATATAACTTTCCTTGACTCAAGATAATGAAACAGCTGAAGGATGGGACAATATTTAAACCAAGGGTCTATCATAATCCATTTCCCTTGTCCCACAAACTCTGGCTGCTCTTAGCAATGCCAGACATCCCCTTAAAGAAACCCCCAGGTCAGTTTTCCCATTCCTCTCCAGTTCTCACCAGGTCCCTGTCTGGCCCCGCAGAAGCACAAAGCTCCTGGGACCCCGCTCTGACCCTGAACAGCACTTGGCAGGTAGGAAGAATTTCTCCACATAAGCAGATTTCCCATGTTTTTAGAGGCGAGGGATTTATTTTTCATTTTAATGTGTCTGGAAGCTGTGTTCCGCTGGCAGCAGAGGGCAGCAAGAGCCTGGCAGGGACACGGACCTGAACAGCCAAACTGAGAAGAGCAGCTGCGTGGGAGGGTGGCAGTGGTTTTACAGTTATTTAAAATTCATGAATTTGCTCTTTTGCAATTCATTAGAGCCTGGAAGCACTGTACTGCCTCTGGTTTGTCTCTGAGCAGCCCGAGTTCCTTGCTGTGGTGCTGCATCCAGCTCTGGGAGAGACATGGAGCTGCTGGAGCAGGGCCAGAGGAGCAAGATCACAGCAGAAGAGCTACGCCTCGGTGAACCAGGCCAACGACAAACCCACAATATTGTACATTTTATTTTAAATTAACAAAACTACAGGTCTTCCATGTTGCTTAAAGCATTCTGTAAAAACTGAACTCAAACAAACAAAAAAGATATATTTTAATAAGACCCAGGGACTATTTCTGAGACGTATGAGTAGGGCTTAGGAATTAAGAAATAAAAAAACCACACACACGCGCACACACATACACACGCCCCGTAAACAAGTTGTTAGCTTTTGACACAAAATTTGGTTTTAAAGCTGCAATTCCTCGTTTGTAAGGAGCCTTTACAAAACGCAATGCAATACTAAGCTGTAAAAGAAACCATGGACACATCTATCGGAACAACATAAATATCACATAAGAACCCAACGTAAAGAGGACGTTAAAGTTGCAAAGTCGAGCACCCAGCCAGGGATTTATTCCACACGCAGGAAGTGTGCCCCCTCCTTTTTCTTTTTTTTTTTTTTTTCTTTTAAACCACAGGACAGGGGCATTGCCATTCCACTCTACAGAAAACCCCCAAAATTATAAAAAAATTATTAGTGTTCAAGTATCCAAAGTCACCCCAAGCTACCTCCTGAAGTAGTGTTCAGCACTTTTCCTGCACAAGATTAGGGAGAAATGTTTCCCTGTGTGGGGGGTGAGGCGCTGGCCCAGGGTGCCCAGAGAAGCTGTGGATGCCCCATCCCTGGAGGGGTTCAAGGCCAGGCTGGATGAGGTTTTGGGCAACCTGGGCTGGTGGGAGGTGTCCCTGCCCATGGCAGGGGGTGGCACTGGATGGGCTTTAAGGTCCCTTCCCACCCAAACCATCCTGGGATTCTGTGATTATCTACGGGGCAGCCAGGGACGGGCATCACCGAGCACGAGCTGTTTGCTGGGGTGGGAACTGGGCTGAAGCAGCAGCTCCCAGTGCAAAGCAGAGCCCCAGCTGCACAGCCTCAACCCCCACAGAGCCCCCAACTCCCCTGCAAACCCGAGTGTGACGATAAAGCCAGCACGCCAGTGGCTCTAATCGCACGGCGTAATGCAGATGTTGGCTAAAGATAGCTTAAGGTTTCATAGGTGGTCTCACTTCTGGTATTTCCCAATTCTAATGCCATTTTGCAGCCTTAACACGCTAACCATGGATGTGTAATTTCAGGAGAATCCCACGACAACGTGTCCCTTTTTCCAGGACAGCGTTTCTGCCCGTACCCACAATGACCGCCTGTCAGCGGCTGCAGAAGCTTCCCCGCTCTCCCTCATCTCTGACCCTTCAGCAACAGTCAGCAGGAGCAGATTTTTATCTTTTAAGGACAAAACTGGGAGGTTGAGTTATGTGTTACTAGCAGTTAACACAGACATTTACTAGTGCCAGCTAACGAAACCCTCTGGATCCTCCGGGCGCTGGAAGAAGGTGTCCCCTGAGCAGCACAGGCCCTTCTGGCCACGCTTCTTCCCCACACACCCCATTCAAACTTGTCTTAACTGGTCCCCAGCACTGTCCAGTTTGCACCTCCACCCCAGATCCATTCCCACCAGCCCTGCAGCCGGACCCACCCAGCACAGCACAGGGCTGAGCAACCTCAGCCTCCACTTCTGCTCCGAAAGGCAAATACCCACACTAGTGCCTGACAAACAGATTTTTTCATGTTGGATAATCCCGGGAAGAACCCATCTCTGCCCAGCACGCTCCATCCCAGCAGCACAAGGAGGTGCTGTCCCCTCCCGTGGCCTTTCTCTTCTCCCTGTGGCATGTAAGCAGCATAAAAATGAACGAGCCACACCAAAAAGATAAGACGGAGGAAGACAACAAAAGCAAGGGAAACCAGACGGGCTGAGAAGAGGCAGGAGGTGGCTGGGGGACCAGTACCTCCGGGAACTCAGGACAGGAGTGCTCCTTTCTGCTCCAACTTGGCTCAAGTATCCAGTTTTACATTCCCCTGTATTTAACAAACAGCTGTAAAACCTACTGAGAAAGCGTGTTGCTGCTGCTACTAAAATCTTAGATATTACGAACAGTCTGCTCCTTTCCCCAGCTGTGCTTCATTCAGGCGACAGAGGTTTGCTGCGGGGCTGCACTAAAGACCTCAACGCAACGACAGATGGTGGAATTAAGTGTTTGTACAATGAGGCTTTAGTTCTTCCCCCAACCATGTTGCACCCAAGAAGAAAACTCAAATTACCAAATCCGTGCTCACCAACCAGGCTCCCTGCACTGCTTCCACGCGCAGACACATGGCAGCCAAATAAAAACCGCCCAACGCCAGCTCTGCCCCTTCCCAACATCTGAATGTCCGACTTTGCAACCTTAACACTCTTCCAGCAGGTTCTTACGTGCTCGGAGTGTAACACAATATACATATCCCTCCCCCCAGGAATAACTACACCGTATTAAAGAGTTTACAAATGTTCTGCTGGGTGTCACAGCTCTGTGAAAATACACCAGGGATGGGGAGTTGGGTCAGGGATGTCGCATTGTCCCTGCTCTCCACCCTGCTCCGGGTCCCGGCTGAGCCCATCTCAGCATCATTCCTGAGCCTCCTTGCGAGCCAGCTTATAGACCTCTGTTGGGCCGTCCACGTGGGTGATGGTGGTGGTGAGCTGGAGCTCCTCCCCGCTGTTCACTCCCAGGTCCCCTGAGAACAAAGTTATTCCGTTAGCCCAGGCTCACCGTAAGAAAGCAAAAGGTGCGGTTTGGTCCCTCCAGGCTCTCAGGAGCTGCCTGAGCTATGGACTGTGCAACATTTTCTATATTTCTATATATTTTTATATGTCTAAAGCTTTCTATAAATGCTTTTATTTCCAGTTATTTAAATAGAAGCATATCGGAACAGGATGATTTCTGTGCTACTGAAGACTACCAACAAAGGAAACCAACAGCATTGCCATTCTCCACTTGCCCTGATTTCTAGTTTCTCCCTTCCTCGTCCCCCTATTTGAGCTACACAATCACAATGCTAAAAAGTACACAAACCATCTAGGTTTTAGACAGCCTTGGCTAAAAACCTCTCTCTACCGTTTGACTGGTCTTCTCCGTAATTCTTGTGCGACGGCGCGTACAGGAACATGAGGGCAAAGACGTAGAGGTTCCACATGCCGTAGATCCCGGTGAAGAAGGCGCTGTTCACTTGTATCGTGATGTCCCCCCACTTCCAGTGGCCTTCGGTCACCTGCCCAGGGGAAAGCAGACACACACGGGATAGTCAGTCTGACCAAATTCTGTAAAAATACACAAGTGAGCACTAAGCCCTAAGAGTAAAGCGGTAAGAACAGTTCGATGGGATGGAGTAAATGGGGTGTAACATGCGGTGGCGCAGAAGTCAGGTGAGGATTCTCCTCTTCACAGACTTAATCTGCCGGAAAAAAATGGTCCTTACAAAATGATTGCATGGGGATTTCTTTAACTTTGATTTATTGTTCTTAAATGTGACAAAATCTCTCATATTCTGCGACACATCCCTGCCATCACAGGCATGTTCAAAGATTGCTGCCTAAAGGGCAGCACCCAGGAGACAGCTAGGTACATCTGAAAACATTCGACTTCTATAAATAGACCTTTTCTAGAGGGAAAACCAGCATGAATAATGCCAAGAGCTGATGCACTGCGTGCCGCCTCGCTGCTTCTGGCTGAGGAGGGGGGCTTGGGCTGACAGTACCCGCCTTGGATGTGCAGAGGTTTGTGTGTCAAGATCCATGAATATAGCATCAATATTAATGACTTGAATCATCAATATTAATGACTTGGATCATCAATATTAATACTTATTGAAGACACACAGACTGTTCACACTGAAGCGTTGGCTTTCCATTAAAGTCCAAGACATAAGGGGGAAAGACGAAAGCTAAACCAGCTTGAAAAGACGAGCTGGGCAAGACTGCGTCATACGTGGAGATGGTTCTGGCCATCAGCACCCAACGATGAATCCAACTGCCAAGTGGCGTTGCTCAAACCACTGCCTCAGCCTAACAGATTTTCAAGAGCAAAATCATCCACTGCTGTAATTTGCATTGGGACCCACCACATACCCCAACACATAAGCAGAGAAACGACTCCAGCACCCATCATTCCGCAATACGGGACCTGCGCGGCTGTACCCCGGCTCTCCTGAAGCTACGAGCTGCCTGTGCTTAGGAACAACCAGAAATGGCATCTTTGATACAGATGCAATCTTAAAAGTCACTTGGAGTAACCCATCAAAGCACATTTACGTAGCGCGGTGAGCTCATTTGTGCAGAGACCGCGTCGGAGCGCAGAATAAATTGGTGTAGGTACGGCTGGGAACAGCAGGGCTGCAAAGTCAACCCAGGGAAGGTGGAATTCTGTTGTTTCTCTGCAGGCGTTCAAAGCCACCGGATTCTTTCAATGCGAACAGGACGTTTTTCCTCTTGCTGAGTTCTCAGAAATGACTAAACCCTCTTTGGCCGATATTTCAAACAGCGCAGCCCCAAACCGCGCCAGGAGCCAAAGGGCTTTGTGGAGGCTTCAGCCTGAGCTGTTTTATGGCAGCGCTTCAAATAAATGAAAACAACTTCTTAAAAAGCAACTGATTATCAAATCAGCTTGTAACAGGCACACAAGGGAGCCGGCGTCATTAGCGGCTGGGGGATGGGGGGGGGGTG